TGGTTAAGGTACTGGGCTCCCATATGGCTGACCATAGTTTGAATCCTGGACCTGGTGACTTGCTTTCTCACTCTCCCATTCTCTCTCTTTCTGTCTCTCACTGATCAAATTGGAAACAAATAATAATAAATAAAATAAAATAAATAATTATTTTTTAAAAATGCCTTTAAAAATATGCTTTTAAAATAATTTTCTTAAGATGATTTCAGTTACTGAGATAATTGCCAAAAATTAAAATATAGCTACAATCACTGTCAGGTGAGAGTATTTTCAGTCATTGGTCTGAAAATGGGCTGGACTAGATTGATGCTAGATTTTACCTTTGACATTAAACCATCCTTTTCAGTTCATTGTTGATTACCAATTTTCCAGTAACTGTTTCTTCAGTTCCTGTTTGATAAGGTTCAAAATCCAAAAAGTGGTTTAAATATTATCATACTAGCCTCAGGTCAGAGGACATGTGTACTTTTCAGCAACATCACTTTCATGAGAGTGCTCATTCACTACTCATAAAATTCTAGTAGTCTAGCTTTGTAGTTATAAAATTTCTGTTTAACAAATTATCAAAATATAATGCTTTCATGGTATATCTTTCCTTTTTTAGAAATATTTTTCTTTTATTTATTCCTTTTTAACTTACCACAGGGTCTATGCACTCCTCCACAGAGAGATAGAAAGAAAGAAGGAGAAAGCAACTCCCACCCCCGTGGGGCATGGTCACATTGCACTACCTTCTCCAATTCTCCATCCTATTGTGACAATTACAAAAACATAAAAAATAAATGATCTTTAAAAAATATGCTATTTGGGGCCAGCAAATAGCATAATGGTTAAGGTACTGGGCTCCCATATGGCTGACCATAGTTTGAATCCTGGACCTGGTGACTTGCTTTCTCACTCTCCCATTCTCTCTCTTTCTGTCTCTCACTGATCAAATTGGAAACAAATAATAATAAATAAAATAAAATAAATAATTATTTTTTTAAATGCCTTTAAAAATATGCTTTTAAAATAATTTTCTTAAGATGATTTCAGTTACTGAGATAATTGCCAAAAATTAAAATATAGCTACAATCACTGTCAGGTGAGAGTATTTTCAGTCATTGGTCTGAAAATGGGCTGGACTAGATTGATGCTAGATTTTACCTTTGACATTAAACCATCCTTTTCAGTTCATTGTTGATTACCAATTTTCCAGTAACTGTTTCTTCAGTTCCTGTTTGATAAGGTTCAAAATCCAAAAAGTGGTTTAAATATTATCATACTAGCCTCAGGTCAGAGGACATGTGTACTTTTCAGCAACATCACTTTCATGAGAGTGCTCATTCACTACTCATAAAATTCTAGTAGTCTAGCTTTGTAGTTATAAAATTTCTGTTTAACAAATTATCAAAATATAATGCTTTCATGGTATATCTTTCCTTTTTTAGAAATATTTTTCTTTTATTTATTCCTTTTTAACTTACCACAGGGTCTATGCACTCCTCCACAGAGAGATAGAAAGAAAGAAGGAGAAAGCAACTCCCACCCCCGTGGGGCATGGTCACATTGCACTACCTTCTCCAATTCTCCATCCTATTGGGATTTTGAGGACACATGCACAAGCATCTGATGTGTTTTTCAAGCCTTTGGGGCCAGGATTCAAACCACAGTTGCCCGTGTCTAATCCAGTTTCCTTAACTACATGACCAACCATAGTTTGAGTTCTGGACCTGGCGGCTTGCTTTCTCCCTTTCCCTTTCTCTCTGGTCAAATTATAAAAGAATAATGGCAAATAGAATTAATTAAATAGTTCTTTTTTTTAAAGGATTATTTACTTAATTTTACTTACTCATTTATTTAATTTGACCAGAGAGAGAGATGGAAAGGGAGAAAGCAAGCCACCAGGTCCAGGACTCAAACTATGGTGAGCCATGTAGTGCCTTAATCACCACACCACCTGCTGGTCCCTAGCAAATCAGCTTTAAATGTTCTTGTTCCTGGGACCAGCAGATGGTGTAATGGTTTTATTGCTGAACTCCCATGTAGTCAATCACAGTTCAAGTGCCGGACCCTGCAGCTTGAAATACACCGGGTACATGTGCGTGTGCGTGCACTCTCCTCTGAGAGGAGAATAGGGAGAAAAGATTGCAGTGCCCCCATCCCCTTATTGGGAGTGATTTCTTGCTTTCTGTCTCTCTCTTTTTTTTGTCTGTCTGGCAAGCGCGCGGGCCCTATAGCAAAAATCTCTTTTAAAAAAAGTTCTTGTTCCTTTTCAATTATATACAAAATAAAAGTTCCAACTCCTTAGCATTCAATGCCATAGACAACCTGTCCTCAGTCTACCTTTCCATATTATCTCCCCTGGCCCACATGATCATGCATTTGGCAACAATTTATCTAGGGCTTAAGTATCTTTTAGGCACTGTGATAAGTTCTGGGATGTGTCGCTTTTGACTGGCCTTGTAGTACAGTGGTTAAGCACAGTACATTGGGAGGCCAGGTTCCTATCTTCATGGAACTTATAAAAGAGACAAATGAAGAGGCGATTACAAAACCAACCATCCTAACTACCAGCCACACTGACCAGCATACCCAGAGACTTGTAATGCAGTATGTGTTCTTGCATGCATTTGGGCACAGGCTGGAGGAAGTCTTATGTCAGCAATAGCTTTATAATTTCCTTGCCCATTCCTGGTTATTGAATGCTTATTTCTAGCCCAGAGTTCCTGGAAATACCTCAGCATTTGAGAGATTGCCTTGAGACTTTGAATCTGCTTTAAAAGGGTTGGTACAGTTTTTGTGGATTCTAACAGACCTGACACATTCCATATGGAGCCCAGGGTGGTAGTCCTCTTCCATGTTCCTTAATCAGATCCTAAGATGGAGAGAGATTCTCCTCCATGTGGTTTACTGAGAGACTGCTCTTGAGAATATGTAAGCAATGAAGAGAGCAGGCAGGAAAGGAGAAGCTAAGCAAAAATGTGGTATCAGCTAAGGTCTAGATTCAGTATCTTGTAGGCACTCTAGAGTCAGAATGATACTGCCAAATTGTCTCACTTGGTAGGAAGGAACCTAGCCTGTTGTATCCCAGAATCCGTCAGTTACGACTGGACCGATATCAGGGAGAGAATATAACTTTCAAGGTATTTCTGGACAGGCTATCTTCCACAGGTGAGGTAAATTACCTGGAGAAACATGCAGTTAGGAAATTTTAGCAACCAACACTCACAGCATTTGTAGAATGCCTGGTAAAGGGGATCTGGTCAAGAGACCAGCAGGTGGCAAAGTGGTTATATTGCTGGACTCCCACATGGCCGACTGTGGTTCCAAGGCCTGGATGTAGCGACCTGAAAATCACACCAGGCGCATATGCTTATGTGCCCAAGATCCCAGGAGGACAATGGAGTTAGAAGGGATTGGCCATGGACACCCCAATGGGAGGTTGATCTCTCACTTTCCCCGCTCACTGTCTCTGTCCCGCTCTGGTGAGTGCACATGCCCCTTGGCAAAACAAACAAAAACACTCTAATAAAAAGGGAAAGGAATCTGGTTAAGGTGTTAACTGTACCTACTACATCCTAAAAATGTGCAAGCTGGACCAGCCAATGGTGTGGGATTAAGGTACTGGATCCCACATGATGGACTGCATGGTTTAAGTCCTGGACCTAGTGGCTTGAAAAACACAACAGGGAGGTCAGTGGATGGAGTAATGGCTACATTGCTGGACTCCCATGAAATCGACTGTGGTTCAATTCCCAGACCTGGCAGCTTAAAACCTACACCAAACATGTGTGCGTGTATGCCTTCTGTCACTCTGGGTCTCTCTGTCTATTTGGCGAGTGCATGCGCCTTATAGCAAAAACCTCTCCAAAAAAAAAAGAAAAAAACAATCTCATTTTTTGTTTTTAGTAACATTTCTTTTCACAAAAATATTTCAATTTCTTACTAAAATTCAAATTGTGAATTAAATTGCAAAATCCACCTAGCAATATCTATCTTATGTTTTAGCTGAAAACGATTTCAGTCTTCTTTCTGTAAGTTCCTTCTTATAAATTATCTCCAGAGAAGGAAGAAAGGGGGTGTTCTGAATTAGTATCACTTTATGGATGGCCATTGAAGTTGATGGTAATAGTCATGATGCTAATTAGGCGAGTTAAAATGGAGATCACCACCATAATTTTAGCAACAGGACAAGGTCCCTGCCAGTACACATGAACTTGGACTTTTCAGTAGCATGGTCTCTTGGACACCTAACTAGAAGATGATTATGAGTAAAAGGAGAGAGGTCATGCCTATAAGGGTCTCATTCTTCTGAATGCCCAAGTGCTTGCTTAATCACACCTTGAAACCCACATATTCCTTTTTTAAAAAGAATAATGATTTATTTAATTTTATTTATTCATTTATTTTAATTCGACCAGAGCGAGACACACACACACACACACACACACACACACACACACGCACAGAGTGAAAGGTGAGAGAGCAAGCCCACATATTTGGGACTTGAATCATGGTCGGCCATGTAGGAGTGTCCAGCGCTTTAACCACCACGCCACCTGCTGGTCCCTAGATCCACATATTCTTGCCTGCCTCTTCTTTCAGGATTAGAGAATGCTTCATTGACAGGCTTCTGTTGATAATACTCTGCTTTGGTTCTTCCTCTTCTGCTTTATAATACTTTTGGATACCAGTAAACTGCAGTCTTTCTTATCTATCAGTGGTTGTGGCTTAACAGTACAAAAGGTTGGATAAGAACTGTTCTTAGTAAGTTAAACTTATATTTTAAACACATAGAGAAATATTGAACTCATTCAGGAAATTTTTCATGAAAAGAATTTTTTTTCCACTTTAATGTAAAGTTCAGGTCCAACATCCTAATTCATCTTTTCTTATAAGCTTGATTTTGTTTCAGGCTCCCTTAATTTTATTTTTAGTTTCACGTCTTTGTGTTATATGGTTCTTAGTAATATTGACATAATTTAGAGTTGAATCAAGTTATAGACGATGACAATTTTTCTTACAGTAAAGGTTAGAGTTTATTCATTGGATGAAGACCTAAAGCCAGCCCAAAGAGAAGTCACCTTAACTTTTATAGTGAGTATATCATTAACTTAATCCAAAATGTAACCTTGATATTTCCTTTACATGAGTAAAAAATTTTCATTATTATAACTATAGTTATATGTGGCATCAATTTATTCACTATTTAAATCCAACAAGTATTTTTCTGCATTTACTGTGTATACAACCTAGTAATTTTATACTTTTATTCTAATTGACATTTTGTGTATAAATTAAATGTTAGTTGGAATATATATATTTTTTTTTTTTGAGAGAGATTTTCGCTATAGGGCGTGTGCGCTTGCCAAACAGACAGAGAGAGACATAGAGACAGAAAGCAAGAAATCACCCCCCAGGGGGGATGGTCACGCCGCAATCCCTTCTCCTCCATTCTCCTCTCAGGATCATGGGCACGCACGCACACGCGCCCGGCATGAGTTTTAAACCACCGGGTCCGGGACGCGAACCGCGGTCGACTACGTGGGAGTCCAGCGACATAGCCATTACGCTATGGTTGTTTTGATGGTTTCATTAAAGAACACGTTTTGATGACTTCCATCTGTAAAATGGGTCAGTTAATCAGTTTGTATTCTCTTGCTATCTATGAGGCAAGGGCAAATGTGGCAATGATTATAGAAGTATAAAATATGATACCTGTGAGAAGAGTACAACATGCATTATAGTCTCATGACAACCTTACAGATCAACATAGGCCCAGCTGTGGTGGCATATGCTGGATGCTGCTGTTCCACAGACTGAAACTGTATGGGAGGTCCAGTTTTATTGTGGCCCACCCTAAGAAGATTGACACAATGGCTTATGCCTGAAGTCTGAGTCTTTTGGTAGACTAAAGTAGAAGGATCTCAACATGGCAAACACTGTCTAAAACAACAACAACAAAAACATACACACACACACACAAAGATCAGTGTAATTATTATCCCTATTTTATAGATGAAAAGGCTAAGAGTTAGAGAAATCAAATAGCCACTGAGATATAGTGATAATAATTAGCTGAATTAGGATTCAAACCTAGGTCTATCTGTAGAGCCTTAACACTTACCTTCTCTTCATTTATTTGGTGGATTATGAGGTGTGTCATTCTAGGAGCATTCACATTTGGGAGATCAGACAAGGACACATAATTATATAATAACACTTGTATAATATAGTAAACAAAATAAGGAGTGATATGGGATGAATAGACCAGGAAGGCAAGCTGCTGAGGATGATGGCTCCCTCTCTGGAGGAAATTATTGAAGGACTAGGGCAAGTCCTATGTTGGTCCATAATGAATACCATGGAGAAAATTTGATAGGGAAGCTATCAAAGCAGAAGGAATAGAGGTCTGCAGCCAGGAGGAAGCAAGACATGCAGACAGCCATGTGGCTTAGTCCCCACAGACTGGCTCATAACACTTAAGGGAGAGATGTGGCAGCTCTGGTGTATTATTTTGCATTTGCAGAGTTGTAGTGGGACAGACAGATTCAACTGAACCTATCATAAAGGTGAATATCTGTCCTCATAGACCCTACCATGCCCCTGTTAGAATTCCCCATGAAGAAAAGACATGAACAGATCAGGAACAATTGCTGTGGCAAGTCCAGATGTGTTGAGGTTTGATATAAAGTCAATAATGAGCTAAAGGAGACTTTTGGCCATGGCAGTGACATTTTGAAAATGGTATTTGAGACAAATTATTCTAGAAGTTCAGGAAAAAGAGAGATGGGGAAGGTGTCCACTGGAAATTTATTTAGCATTATCTTACATATTTACTGTACTACTTATGCCCATTCAAAATGTGCCATTGTGTCTTAGAAAGTAATCTTTGTTAACAAGTCTGACCAGTGTGGATTGTGGCCTCAATGCTAGGCCAGCATCACATATGTTTAGTTCTAACAAAGTTTCTTAGAACATATTAGTGAATATAGCTATTAGAACTACCCATCACATATTATGTTTATGTGTGGGTTCTGTATTTATAGGTTGTTAAGAAACATAACCTTGTATTTTTGTCTTCCTTTTCACTTGAAGGATCCAGAAGGGTCAGAGGTTGCCATGCTAGAGAAAACAAATTACACTGGAATTATCACTTTTCCTGACTTCAGAATTTCTTCTAATCCTAAGTATTTTAAATAATTTGTTGGTAAAGTTATTTCTCTTAAAAGCAGTAGAAGCACCTGGGGTTATTGAATAATTTAGTGGAACCATTTATATAAAACCGAAAGGTGTTGATTTAAAGAAATCTTGGTTTTGGCTATTCTTATCAGGCCTGGTGAGTAGCCTGACCTAAGAAAAGGTACTTGGACTCTTCTGCATCAAGGCAGAAGTCTTGATATAATACTACCAGCTGTAAGCATCAGGCTAGACTGCTCTGTTCACAGCAAAGTCCAGTGTAGTGGACACTATGGGAATGTAGACCCTCTGTCAAAATGTTGAGAGCACAGTAGAAGAGGGAAAAATAAAAAAGTACAAATAGATGACATCCGCTAGCATGTGTTTAATATTCCTTAGAAATTTTGAAAATTTCTCTGACATTTTAGTTCATATTCCTAGAACTTGGAAGATATTTTACAGTATTACTTCGGTCTTTATATTGTGTAATGCCTAGAAAATGTAACACTTCAAAAGGTAAGGGAACTGACATTTATGGCTCTTTTGCTATGTGCCAAGTACTCTGCAAGATCTTTATTATTTCCATTTGCAAAATAAGTAAACTAAGGCTCAGATGAATTTATAGACTTGTTCAAGGTCATATAATCATTAAGTGATGAGAATGAAATGGGAACCTAGATCTCTCTGATGGCAAGCTCATTCGTGCTCTTTGCTTCTATCATACCACCCCTCTAAAAATCATTTCACACTGACCTTGAGTTGTAGGATTTCCAAAACTATACATTTGTATAATTTAGATGAGTTTAACCTGATCAAATAGTCCTAGAAATGTAGTCCTAACTTTCTGGCAAACTATATAGAATATATATTTAGTAATATGATTATGTTTCAAGATTGGTTCATCAACTGAATAATTAGCGATTTAAATGAAAAATATTTTCTTGTCAAATATATACTATGATAAACTAGAGAATCAATAAAATAAAAACAACGGTGTCTTTAAAAATAATTATTTATTTAATTTCATTTATTATTATTATTTAATTTGCTAGAGGACATGTGTGCTCATCAGAGAGAGAAACAGAGATGAACTGTGGTTGGCTATGTTGGGAGTCCAGTGCCTTCACCACACCACCTGCTAGTCTCAATTAGTGTATTTTTTTAATGCCTATTTTTGTTTATAATTTTAAAACATATTTCAAATATGGCATACTAATTAATTTTATGCATAAATCTAAAGCTACTGTCAGGGTCATCAAAGCATGGAGCTATGGTCAAGGGCTTAAGAGCTGAAATGACCGAACTGTGTCCCAGCTCTATTAGCTTTGTGTCCCTGGGAAAGTTATTTCACCTCACTGGGCCTCAGTTTTCTGATGATAAAATAGGGGTAATAGTATAACCTATTACATGTATGTTTGTGAAGACTGAGTTAACACATGTAAAAACATTTGGGAAAGGACTTGGCCTATACTGAAGTGTTCCTTTGAATATTAGCTCTAATCCTTGGGTGGATTAAAGATACATTATTTGATGATACCTAAAATTTTAAATATCTTGCTTTCACAGATACGGTTTATGGACAATTAAAGCTAAATACAAAGAGGACTTTACAACAACAGGGACTACATATTTTGAGATTAAAAATTATGGTAATTTCTTATAAATAAGATTTCCAATGTATCTTTTAACAAATTATGGTAATTTCTTATAAATGAGATTTCTAATGTATCTTTTAAAAAGTTGTCATCAATAATTTTGTAGAATTAAGACTCAGTAAAGAATAAAGAGGGACCCAACAAGCTCTACACTGGTGACCTATGTACCTGTTACCATTTTAAAAAATCTACAGTGTGCATGAGAACTAACTGCTGATTTTCAAA